ATCATCATCCATTCCCATCCATCATCCATCCATACCATCAATCCATCTATCATCCATCCATCCAGTCCATCGATTCTCCATCCATCCATCATCCAATCCATCCATACATCATCGCATCATAATCCATCGATCCATCTATCCATTCATCCATCCATCCGTCCGTCCATCCAACCATACACATAATACACACAACACACACAACCTGTGCATATTGCCGTGTGTGTGTGTGTGTGCGTGCGTGCGTGCGTTCGTTCGTGCGTGCGTGCGTGCGTGTGTGCGTGCATGGGTGCGATTATGTGCACATCTGCAGTCTGTGCGTATTTATTTATGATGCCTGGGAACGTTTCATAAAAAGCGGGTGAACAGCAGTAAACGTCGCACGAATAGTTGTGCAATCAGCACATCATGTCAGGTGTCAGTTAGTTGCAACTAGACATTCAGTCACCAATCAACTATATTTGCCTATACACGATGTGCGTTTGCGTAACTAATAATGTGACGAACTGATGCCATAAAGCTAGTAATACCGCTAATACGACAAGTCACCATGCAGCAGAGCGCACATCAGGGGCGTAGGCAGGGGTGATTCCAGGCAATCCGGAATCCCTCCTGGTTTGTATCAAAATTGCACATATCTGATACAGTATGTATATAAAAGCATGAAGCGAAAATTGTGAAAAGTTTTATTAGTATATAGTAGGTTTGGATCCTCCCTCTTGGTTTGGAATCCCCCCTCTTGGAAAGGCTGGCTACGCCCCTGCACATTCACTTGATGTTGATGAAATAGAATTGCATAATTCCAGCAGCTGATTTTTACGCTAAGTGCCGATAGATTGTAACAAAGTAGTACACAATTGATTGGATATTTGCTCTTGCTAATGTAATCGGTATGGTTAACTAACCAGTCTACGACGTTCGATTGTTTTTCAGTGACCTGCAGTCATGAGTGAATGGTTAGTTGCTATCATCATCGTTGGTGTCAGCATACTTGTGGCCATGTTGGGTTTCATGGCATGTCGCACATACGGACTTTGGGAATGGTTATTACGCTGCTTCGGGGAAGACGAGGAAAAGGCCATGTTGACCAAGAATGAGCAGTATAGTGGTTATATGGTAGGTGTATCTTCTGTTAAAATATGCAGTGCATAAGTGATGAGTGATTACGTGCGACCATGACTGTGAGACACGGGGTAGTAGCTGTGGGGATAAGGTGCTGCTAGCTGCTGCTGCTGGTGGTGGTAGTCATGAACACTATAGAAACGTTCCGATAATAAATTAATGATAAATAAACACGATGTATATTTACTGCCAAAATCTCAATGTTTATGTATTCTCTATCGACTAATAATTTCACGTAAATGTCGTTAGAATGCTCTTCTGCAACACACAATTTCATTGCACGCACACCACTGTAGACAAATCCCACAGAAGTCTCTCTGTGAGTTTGTGCACAGTGGCGTGCGTGCAGTGAAATTGTGTGTTGCAAAGGAGCGTCTGAACTGCATTTACGGTACACTCTTAGGCGAAAGAGAATAGATAAACATTAAGACTTTGGTAGTAAATACATTTCGTGTTCATTCGGTGGTGCTGGCGGTGGCGGTGGCGGTG